AATTTTCGCCTAATGCCACGCTGTCAGCATACTCTACATCAAATAGCCACCCGGAGCAGCAACATTTTTGAACAGAAAGCTTTCCACCGCGAAGCCCCGGCTTTAAACCAATGTACAGGATGGTGCTCGGCACGATTGATGCGAGCTAGTTCCCACTATTCGTCTCGATCGTGAACGCCTCATGCCGGATAGAGAGATGGTATAATCAGAGACTGGTAGTGCCAAATAACAACGTGTGCCTCTGGATTGCGTAGATGTGACTCTCACTGTTCACATGAATAGTCTGAAGATTGATACACCCAACCGCAGAACAGTCGATACGTCCGGGTATCAGAGCTTGTTATGTGGTTCTGAAAGTCCTTGAGAGTATAAAACTGAGATCTCGGCTAGAAATGTTAGGCCGTAAGTCAATTCACGAGATCCAAATAAGTAACGTCTGATGCCGGCACGAAAGTTGTGGTCTCTCTGCTCACATTCTCGTACGGATGTCGATTCCCCAAATTGCACGCAATTTTCCTCTAGATAAGCGTCCTTTGGCTACGCGTGTCTAGTGAATGGCAAAGTACTTTCCAATAGCTACGTGACACTATCAGACAGCTAGTCGACCAGAACGTGCACATACGCTAGGCCTATTTATACCAAAGCCGCTGCTGTTTTGATAAGCTAAGCTAGATGCCAGTAAATTCGGTAAAATTTCTGAAGCGTCTCACGATTGTAAAACAGACCTCCAGTCTATGAACATAAATGTGTTGCGTGCAATCGTTCCGATCTGCTCAATCTACGAATGCTGCCGACTGTGTGCGCAGCCTCATTGAACTGCAGCACCTAAACGCGACAGCTGAATTAAACTGTTCTGGCAAATTCCGGGAAATCCTCTTACTTCTATATCTATTTGCAATAATAACACTCTGGCATAATGTTTTTAAATCCCGGTTGATTTGTGCCCATAGGGGTTGGAATTACAAACGCTTACGTGTTTGCTCTTTTGTAACCGGTATGCGGCCCGGCACAACGGGATTGTAGGTAGATTGCTATGTTTTAGACCAAAGAGTCCGAAGAACCCTCTAGAAGCCGCTGTACATGACTGCCGCTGACGATGCCGGCTTACAGTTTGACTAGCCCGTTACATTGACCCAGCGCAGTCCAATTGTAAGCGGGCTATAATACTGAGAAGCTAATCAGATGAGAGAATTACAGGTAAGTTCCTGTGGAGAGTCTCGGGTGGTAGGGTCAGACCTTACTAGGAGTAGTAGACAGAGTCGGACGCAAGTAGAAAACTGAACTCGTACCGGTATAGAGAGAAGTAAGCCGATATAAGTTGACTAAAAGAAGAGGAATAAGATATAGATTGCAACAATAAATATTACACAAGACGCCCCCGGCGTGTGAGGAGACTTGGACGACCTGGGCGCGCCAAATTTACTGCTGTGCTGACCGCGGCTGTCGGGCGAGGAATAAGGAAATTATTAGGCTGGGGTTCCCGCGTCTGGGCAACCGAGCCGCGTAAGCCAGACCGCCCCGAGCCCCGACCGTACCGTCGGCACCCACCCCCCACCCACCGCACCACCGCCCCCCCCAGGCACCGCGGGCGCAACCGCGAGCCGTCACTTCTGATCCACGCCGTCTGCGCAACTGAAGTGAGCGCCTTTAAGCCGGCTGGAATCAGCGGGCACTGCTAGCTTGACGGGTTGCAGACACGCTGGTAGGGGGGGGGGGGTGGAATGCAGCCACAGTACGGGCTAGGCACAGCGATATGCGCCACTCGGCGGCCCGCTGGGTAGTATAAGGAGCACAATGAATCGCAAGCTCAGGCAGTTATAGTACAGGTCCAAGGAAGAACCAGGAAGAGGAAGAAGAAAGGAAGGAAGGAAGCAGCCGAAGGACGACGGAAAAGAGGGAGAGTTATGTTTCAGGGATAGGTTATAGGTAGGAAGGCGGGAAAAGGAGAGGAGCGTAAGGAACGAGAGAGAGAGCGAACGGCAGCGTTGTAAGGCGAGAGGATAGACGCACAGGGTTTTAGTAGTGTAAATCCAGAGCCGCGAAACGGGAAGGGGAATAAAAGCGGGCGAAGAACGGCATTCTGGTAGAGCTAGGAGCGACTGCGAAGGGAGATACCTTGGGAACTGTGGCTGGATCCACCGCAACCGGGCCAAGGAAACGAAAGTGAGAGAATTCAGACGGCCGGCGACGTCGTAGATATGTAGAGCGGGATCAAACTTAAAGGCCCGCTCTGCAATATACGAAATGCAGGGGAATCATTTTAAGCATTAGTAACTACGCAATGAAAAGCTTATATCACCGTATCGTTTCAAACTCGAGATCTCACCGTGTTTTTCTGTTCACCTGTTATCGGGCTTACGTGTCATCGCCGGTCCGTGCCCTAATACCATCGACAGGAGCGGACTCTCGAATCCTACTACTGACACAAGCGGTTGTGAAGCTAACGTCTGTCCGCAAACCCGTAGTCCGTCTGCCCCTAGAGGCACTACATTCCGGTATACCGGACCGTACCCAGGGTACGTTCCGGCAGTACCCTGGGGGACATAGACCCTATCAGCCTAACCTACACTGCGATCGGTCTACTATGTCCCAGATGTGCAAACATGTGCAAACATTGAAAGTACTAGTTTTGTTAACCCGACGAGGCTGTGTGACTAACGTCAATATACACGTACGTAGTATATTCACGTAGTATATATATATACGTCAATACACACGTACGGTATTCTAACCCTAGCAATACAGTTTCTTGGAGCTATTATCTATAGCTTTATAGTTTTCGTAAGACTGTTTATGCTTGCTGAAGAATTGTTATGAAAGTAGCAATACAAATGAGTTGTAGTGAATTTTTACAGCATAGGCGATCGAGCTAACAGTAGGTATATATATATCAGAAGTAGATAATAGAAAATTCCCTATTATCTACTTCTAATATATATATATATATATATATATATATATATATATATATACACTGGCGTAGCTAAGGGGGGCACAATGGGGGGCACAAGACATGCCCCCCCCTGTTGATTGGCGAGCAAAAACAAATTTTTTTCCCTTGCCTCTCACGCGTCTTCACAGGACTGGCCACAATTCCTGTTACTTCTGCATCTGCTGAACGAACATTCTCTAAAATGAGCATTGTCAAGTCTAAACTTCGTTCTACAATGACCCAGCCACGATTCTCTGCTCTCATTCTCTTTTTCGTTGAACAGGAGCTAGTGAATGACTTCATGAATGATTAATGTCAACGAAATCCTCAAAATGTTCTATGAAAAATCGACGAGAAGACTTGACTTTGGATTTTGAGATTTCTGCAGCAGACAAAAACATGACTAAAAGAAAGGAGATAATTCTTCTTTGCTCAGATTTGTGATGTTGCAAGTTGGATTTGATTGAATTTTATGGTTCTGAACTATTATTGACAGAAGAAAAGAAATGGAAATGCTTTAATTGTGAATAACTTATAGACGGCCATTTTGGCATCCACCTCGGTTTTTATTTCAAATCCGATTTCAACACTATTTTAAGTAACTGTTCTCTATCAGAGGAGGCAAAAACAATTCTTTTCATGGTAAATTTCGTTTTTATTTTAATAGAGCGGCTATTTTGGCAGCCACCTTTGTTTTTATTTGAAATCAAATTTCAATATGATTTTTAGTTCTTCATCAGAGGAAAGCAAAAACATTTTTTATAACGAACCAAATGTTAAATGTGATCTTTAACGCTATTGTATTCTAAACGATGTAAATCTTTTGTAATTTAAATAAATTGCATGTTTATTCAGTGCAGTTCCAACACATCTACCTGTTTTTCCCGTAGATCTTTATTTCGATTTCATTCAATATGCCTCGATCTACTTTTTCAAAAAATAATTTAACTTTTAACTTTTATATGAGGAACTTGAAACAGTTTATGACGGATAAATGCAACATTGCATGGTACTGCTAACAACACAAATCAAACTAATTCCAATATTCCGTCAGTGCTTGAACGTAGCTAAAGGGGGGCACAAGGGGGCCATGACCCCCTCTTCATCGGAGAGTACAAAAATTAAGAGAGAAGAGCCCTGAATGGGATTCGTCTATACCACTATTACCTACACCTAATAATGAAAATGAAATGCGCAAAAATGCCATTTTGATGCACATATTTTCAAAAATTACCCTACTGTGGGAGGGGAAACACCCTCCCCCGTTGAGAAATAGCTTCATCACTGTCTTTGGTCGCTTAACTCTTTTCTTCCCTCCCTGAAAAACATTGGCTTCGTAAATCATTTTCACTGGTTTAGCTAAGGGTCCACCAACTGGTCGTGTGTAACCTCAGAGCCTTCCGGCGCCACAGCCAGGGGCCATCGTCCCACGTTGATCGGATCGGAGTGGAAAAAATAAAAAGCGAGGGAGGGGGTTATAAGGGATTAGCATATGCCACTTCTCATATAAGTTACCCCTAATACTGAATTTTAGTGTGCAGAAAATGCCATTTTCATGCACGAATTTTTTTAAATCTCCCTACCGTGGGAGGGGGAATACCCCTCCCACACCCTACCACCCTCGGTCGCTTCGCTCCCTCGCCTTGGCCCCCCTGTTTCAAATTGCTGGCTACGCCACTGCACACACACACACACACACACACACACACACACACACACACACACACACACACACACACACACACACACACACACACACACACACA